AATAAAATAATTTTTGTACTCTACCTTACAATATAATGTGTTTTTAATTTTTGTCAAAGTGTAATTAACATGTATGTGGTATAAATAGTCAAATGATGTCAAAAGTTTATAAGGAAAAATGGCAGCTCCACTTCCCTTCTCCCTATCACCTGCCACTACTTCTCACCAGAGGCAACCACTTCCTATTTTTCCAATTGACTTTCCTGGCATTTTCTTCCATATTTCTACATACTTGTACATTTCATTTCATACACTGAAAAAAACACAAAGCAAAGAAACCTAAAGCTGTTTCTTTGAAAAGATCAGTAAAATTGATAAACTAGCCAGTGCGATCAAGAAAAAAGAGAAAAGACAGAAATTACCAACATCAGGAATGAAAAAGATATTACTACAGATCTCACAGACATTAAAAGGGTAAGGGATTAGTTCATTCAGGTTGCTATAACAAAAATGCCATAGATTGAATACTTTATGAACAACAGAAATTTATTGCTCACAGTTCTGGAGGTTGGGAAGTCCAAGATTGAGGCACTGGCATTCAGTGTCTGATAGTGCCTTCTTGCGTCCTCATGTGGTGGAAGGGGCCAACAAGTTCCCTCAGAACTCTTAAAAGAGCACTAATTCCATTCATGAGGGTGGAGCCCTCATGACTAAATTACCTCCTAAAGGTCCCACTTCTTAATACTATAGCATTGGGGATTAAACTTTCAAGGTATGAATTTTGGAGAACACCAACATTCAGATCATAACACGTTATTTTAAGTTTTTGTACATAAGTTCACTAAGTTAGATAACATGGCCCAATTCTTGGAAAGATGCAAATTATCAAAACTCCCTCTTCAAGAAGTAGATAAACTGAATTGACTTGTATATATTGAAGAAATTGGGTTTTTTCTCCCAAAACAAACTCCAGACCCAAGATATTTTTGTTGGCAAATTCTGCCCAACACTTAAGAAAGAAATGATGTCAATTCCACACTTCCAGAAAATTGAAGAGGAAGAAATGCCTCCCAACTCATTTTATGAGCCTGCATTACCTGTTTACTAGAATCGGACAAAGATAGTGCATGAAAACTATAAACTGATATCCCTCATGAATGTAAACACAAATATTCTCAAAAATATCAGCAAATCAAATCCTGCAGTATATAAACATAGTGCAACATGATGAAGGGGTTTACCCTGGGAATGCAAGACTGGGTCAGTATTTGAAAGCCGGTGTAATCCACCATTATTAACAGAATAAGGAACAAAAACTACAGGATTTTATCAGTAGGCGCAACAGAGCATTTGAAAAAAATTCAATACCAGCAAACTAGGAATAAAAGTGAACTTCCTTAATCTGAAAAGGGCATTGTGCTAATAACCTATAGCTAACATCATAATGGTGAAAGCCCGATTTTCCCCTTTGAGTGGAAAAAGACAAGAATGCCTACTCTTCCCACTGCTGTTGAAGATCATATCGGAAGTCCCAGCCAACGCAATTAGCCAGGAAAGAGACACAAAAAGTTGCATAATGCAATTCTCATCTAACTCCTGGTGAGGTTTTTTTTTTGTAGACATAAGGAAATTTATTCTAAAGTTTATATGGGAAAGCACAAAAATTAAAATAGCTAAAACAATTTTGAAAAAGAAAGAAAAGTGGAAGGAATAACTTTACCCGATGTTAAGCCTTACTATATAGCTAAACAATCAAGAGAACGTGGTATTGGCAGACACATAGGTCAATGGAACAGAATAGAGAACCCAAAAATAGATTCACAAAGATATTCCCAAATTAGTATTTTAAATGCTTTCTTTTAATACTTTTATGTGTAGATTAACATTTATCTTATCCTTTTCCAAAAAGGATAAAAGGTGGTTTATTTTATTTATTTATTTATTTTTTTTCCTTTTTGTCTTTTTTACTGACCGGTAACGGGATCACAACCCTCGGTGTCACGCCCGTACCGGGACCGGCAACGGGATTGCAACCCTCGGTGTTGCGCCCGCACCGCGCTCAGCCAGTGAGCGGGAACCGGTCTCCACATGGGATCCGAACCCTCGGCGGGAGCGCCGCCGCGCTCCCAAGTGGCGCACTCTCGCCACTGGGCCGGCCCACCCAACTGATTTTTGATGGCATAAAAGCTGTTCAATGGAGGAAGCATAGTGGTATGTCCACTTTGAATATGTCCCCCACATTTTATGTGTTAGAAACTTAATACCCCAATTCATATGTTGATTGGAAGTGGGGCATTTGAAAGGTCATAATGATTAGGTAAGGTTGTCAGCGTGGGGACCCCATGATGGAACTGGTGGCTTTATAAGAAGAGGAGAGACCTGAGTTGACACGCATGCTCTTGCCCTCCCGCCGTGTGATACCCTCTGCTGTGTTATGATGCAGCAAGAGGGTCCTCACCAGAAGTCGAACAGAATTTGTAGTTGGCCTAGCAGAAGTGTGGGTAACCTGTGGCTGGTGTCTGAAATGGGGGCAGTCTTGTGGGACTGAACCTTTGACCTGTGGTGTCTGTGCTAATTCTGGCTAGTTAGTATCTGAATTGGATTGAATTGTTGGACACCCAGTTAGTATTGGAGAATTGGTTGGTGTTGGAAAAAAACATACATGTGGTGTCAGAAGTGGTGTGAGAAAAAAGACACCCAAACATCCATAGGGGAAAATGAACCTCAATATAAACCACATGTCTTATACAAAAATTGACTCAAAATTGGTGATTGACTTAAATGTAAAAAGTAAAGTTATAAAACTTTTAGAAAAATAGGAGAAAACCCTCAAGAGTTAAGACTAGGCAGAGTTGTTAAACTTCACACCAAAAGCATGGTCCATAAAAGGAAAGACTGATAAATTGGCCATTATCTAAATGAAAATCCTTCATTCTACTGAATACCCTATTAAAGAAATAAAAAGACAAGCTTCAAGAGTGGGAGAAAATTTTTGCAAACCATGTATCTGACAAAGAATGTATATGTAGAATATGTAAAGATCTTTCAAAACTCAACAGTTTTTTAAAAAGAAAATGGGCAAAGACATTTCACTGAAGAGGATATACAGATGGCAAACAAACATGAAAGTATGCTCAACATCATTAGCCATTAGGGAAATGCAAATTAAAACCACAATGAGCTATCGCTACACCTATCAGAATGGCTAAAGTAAAAAATAGTGATAACACCAAGTGCTGGTAAGAATGTGGGGAAATTGATTCACACGTTGGTGGTGAGAATGTAAAATGGTACAGCTGCTCTGGAAAAGAGTATAGCAGTTTCTTACAACACTAAGCATGTGCCTACTATATGACCCAGCAATTACACTCTTGGACATCTATCCTAGAAAAGTGAAAACTAATGTTCACATAAAAATCTGTACACAAATGGGGCCGGCCCGTGGCTCACTCGGGAGAGTGTAGTGCTGATAACACCAAGACCATGGGTTTGGATCCCAATATAGGGATGACCGGTTTGCTCACTTGGGAGAGCGTGGTGCTGACAACACCAAGTCAAGGGTTAAGATCCCCTTACCTGTCATCTTTAAAAAAAAAAAAAATCTGTACACAAATGTTTATAGCAGCTTTATTTGTAATAACAAAATACTGGAAATAATCCTCATGTCCTTCAACGGATGAATGTTTAAACAAACTATTGTATATCATCAAAATACTACTTGGCAATGAAGAGGAGTGGACTACTGATACACATTACTTCAGTGGATATCAAGGGAATTATGTTCAGTGAAAAAAGCCAATCTCAAAAGGCCATTTACTGTATGATTCCACTTATCTGACATTCTGTAAAGGCAAAACGGTAGCCACAAACTACTGATCAGTGGTTGCCAGGGGTTATGGGTGGGGGAGGATGTGACTACAAAGGGGCAGCAGGAGGAAGTTTTTGTGCAATGGAACTGTTCTTTGTCCTGATTGTGTTGGTGGTATATGAGTTAAAATTTATAGAACTGAATACCAAAAAGTATGTGTTGTTGTATGTAAATAAAAAATAAATTATATAAACTGTTCAAGTATACATTTAAAATATTAGTTCACACAAAATGACCAAAATAACATTCTCATAAGCTCTGCTGTCTAGAAAACTCTGGAATATGAAGCAACTTTGTAGCCCTTGTCTACTGGAGTGGCCACATCTATTTTGGACTTACGTGCACACCCCTCACCCCAGCTGCCTCTCTCACATTTTCGTCCACTTTAGCAGCTCCTGAAGACCCACGGCATGGATAGTTTTCGAATTCTATTAGTTCCTGGAACAGCAGAATCAGCAGAATCCTTTTGTCCTTTTTTTTTTTTTAAGCGAGTCAGTGTCTCTGAGTCTCAGTGCCTCGACATCTGTCTTTGGGTCTCTTCATCTCTGTCTCCCTATTTCTGATTCTCACTGTCTCTGTCATCTCTGGGTTTCCTTATTGCAGAGTTTCTCTCCGTCTTTGGGTCTCTCTGTCTCCCCAGTACTGTGTCCACCAATTTCTGTCTCTATTTCCGAGTCTCTGGATTTCCCCTTCTTTAGGTCTTTCTCCCTTTTCTCTGTGTCTGTTGGTTCCTCCTTGTCTCTTTTCCTTTCCTTTTCTGTCTCCGTGTATCTCGCCAGAGTGTTGTCTGTGTCTGTGTTGTCTGTCTCTTTCTCTGCGCGTGTACGTCTCTGGGTCTTCACGTTTCTGCCACTCCCAGACTGCGTCTTTTTGCCTCTATGTCTCTGTCTACTCCCGTCTCTGTCCGTCTCCCCGTCTTTGTCTCTCCGGGTACATGGTCTCTCTGGTTGTCAAGGGCGTATATTTAATCCGTTTGTTTGCCGCGTTGCTATGGCGTCGAAAATGACGCAAGAGCAAGAGTGGGTGAGGCGGTGTCCGGAGGCTACCCTGCCTTTGATTGGCTGTCTGCTCCGTCATAGCAGCCTCGCCCCGCCCCACCCCACCGGGACAAGCCCGCAGCATGCTGGGAGGAGTAGTTCGCGGCGCGGTCCCAGCGCGCATGCGCAGTCCGACCGGCCGCCATCGCGCAGCTTTGGGCTCCGGGCTACCGGGACGGCCTGGGGTAACTGCGCAGCAGGTGGGTCGGGCCCGGAGGGATACGTTGTGAAGGGGGCGAGGAGAAGGGGGCAGGGAGGGACACTGGGCTTGGGACGGGATGAGGGCGCCTCCGGTGGGAGTGCAGTGGGGGGTGGGCGATGGGCCTTGTAGTCCCAGGATTTTGATCTCGGGGAAGGGAGGGTCTGGGATCCCCTCGGGTGGGAGTGTGGTGTGGGATGGGCCGGGGGCCACTTAGGTGGGAGTGTAGTGGGGGATGGACCAACGTGCCCCAGGGTTTCGATCCCCTTGGGTTGGGGTCTGGAAGGGGGAGGGTCTAGGAGCCCTTCGGGTGGTGTGTGGTGGGGGAAGGGGCAAAGCTGAGGGTGGGTGAGGGGCCAGAGCTCCTTTTGGGTGTCCGGGTTGGGTTAAGGTAGAGGGGACCCCTACTGCCGGCTGAGGGGGCGGGAATTAGGAGAGAATGAGTGCTGGTTTCTGAGTGTAGGTCCTGGGAGGGAAGGGGCTAATGTGGGGGTTGAGATGTGGAGGGCAAGGGCTGAGATACTCCTGAGTAAGGAGGGAAAGAGGGGAGGAAGGTCGGGGTGGGGGAGATCCCCTTTTTGGCTGTCCGCGAGTGGGAGGGCTGAGGTTGCCCCTATTGGAGAAGGCCTCGGTGCAGGGAAGTGGTGGGGGCTGGGTAGCAAGGGGCGGAGCTGAGCCGCCTGGTGGCAGCCCTGTAGTGATTCTCTGCCCCTCCTCCGGGATGTCCCGCCTCTCCCCAGTTGCCTGGAGGTGGGTTCGGTTTGAAAGAGGTGCCTGCCTCTGCCCCAGGGACCCCTTTCATGGGAGAGAGGCAAGAGTGGAGGGGTCCTGGCCTCTGTCTTGACAGGGGAGGGGGCGGGATGGGGAGGATGGATAAGATCATCTGATGCTGCCCTTCCCTGATGCTTCTGATGGTGCTGGTGGATGGGGCAGGTGAGGAGGAGTAGGGACCACTGAGGTTTGTGGGGTTTTTTTCTTTTAACGTTGTTTATTAACATTTTTAAACTTTTTTTTTGGCGGCTGGCCAGGTACAGGGATCAGACCCTGGACCTTGGTATTATCAGTACCGCTTTCTAACCAACTGAGCCAATCGGCCAGCCCTATTTTAACATTTTTTTAAAGTTTTCAAATTTATAAAAAAAGTTTTTAGAACTCCTGCACACACTTTGCCCAGATTACCTGTTAGTATTTTGTATTGTGTCAAATTTTAACTGTCCTCTCCACTCCCCCGTGAGTGTGTGGGGAGAGGTGTCTATCTCCCACCCCCCACTCCTCTCCCTTCTCTCCCTCTTCTCCCCCTCCTTTCTTCACCTAATCCTCCCTTCTTTCTCTCTTTCCCTCCCCCCACTGTCTCCTCTCTTCTTTCTTTCTTCTCATCTCTCTCCTCTCCCTTTTCTTCTCCCTCCTTCCCCCTTCTCTCCTTTTCTCCCTCTTCCCTCTCTCCCCTTCGACCCCACTTTCTGATATATATACCCGTATCTTAGCTGACTCCTTAGAGGCTAAGTTGGACAGTTACACCATCCTCTGTTCCACACCACGATCTGGTCCCTTGTCTATCTTCACCCCCGCCGTGTTCCCCCCCACCCCCCATTCCAAGGATGTCCTGTACAAGTTTTCTTTTCGTGCTGTGGAGCCAGAACAGGACTACATGTTGCATTAAGTTCCTGTTTCTCTGCATGATCTTTGGGTCTGTGAATTCCTTGTTATTTCTGACCTTGAAGCATTGGGGGAACCCAGGTCAGTTATACAGATGACTCTTTGTTCTGTCTGTCCTGTGAGTGGATTGGGAGTGTGTGTTCTTGGAAGGGACCACGGAAAGCCACTGAGATGTTAACGATGACTTCTGTTCCACATTTTTTCATTCTTTTAAATGTACCTTTTACCTTTTATAATGAATAATCTGTAGATGAGGCCAGGGGAGACCATGTGAATATCCTGCGACCCATCAACCTCCCACCCCAGACCCAGTGTTTGTCCGTGGTTGGATCCTTGGGCCTGTGACTGTGATGTTTGGAAAAAGTTGTCAGTGGCATTTTGTTTACAAGGCCCTGAGGAGTTTGGGGTCATTGGCATGGCTGGGCAGGTGGGGGTGGGGGGCAGATGGAGAGCTGGTAGTAAAGGTCCCTTAGGAGGTTAGGTGTCCTGGAGCAGGCAGGAGGGACTGGAGCAGATATGAGGGATCACTTGAGGTCAGGGCTGGGATAGTGGGGGGCCAGAGTAGTCTCTGCTTAGCACAGGATGAAGGGGATTTTCTCCAGTGCTCCAGAGGCCCACGAGACTTGGGACCCCTCAACACAGCCAACCAGCCAGCCACCCACCCACCCACTGTGGCTTCTTTGCCTCAGCTCCTGCATCCCAGGCCCCAAAAGGGCGAAGTTCACAGGAACAACTCAGGATGCCTTCACACTGCTCCATCTGCTGAAGCCAGGGTGGGGGGGCTGGGTCCCAGGAAAATGCTATCCAAAACAAATCCTGGACAACACTGAGGTGGAGGTGGGCCTGCCTGGTTCCTCTGCCTAATGGAAAAGTCCTTGGAGCAGTGTGACCAGGGATGGGACCGAGGGAGGCAAGCAAGGCACACTCAGGACTGGAGGTTTCTGGAGACTCTTGGATGGCTTCCTCCTCCTCCTGGTTCTTTTTTTTTTTCTCTTTTTCCGTGTCCGGCAATGGATCGCAACCCTCAGTGTCGCCCCCGTACCGGACTGGGACCGGCAACGGGATCGCAGCCCTCGGTGTTGCTCCCGCGCCTCACTCAGCCAGTGAGCGGGAACCGGTCTGTATGTGGGATCCGAACCCTCGGCGGGAGCGCTGCCACACTTCCC